AAAAAAAAAAAACCTCATCGATTTTCATTCATGTTCAAGTTTTCGTGATAAAATATTTAATAAAAGAAAAAAATAAGATTACACTATGATATTACCATTCTTTTATAAAAATAATATGAAATTTTTTTAATGATGACAATGAAATCAAATGAAAGCCTCAAAATTTCTTGGGAATTCTTTATTTTATTACAATATTTTAACTGACTTAGGAATAATATGATGAAAGAGTGATATTATTATTTAATATTTGAAAATCTCATGACAATGTAAAATTGAGATTTATTAAATCATACTATTAATCATATTGTTAAAAGAAAAAAAAAAAAGAGAAATTAAAATAATCAAAGAATCTATTAAAAAATTTTAAGGTATCTATGAAATTTCCCTTTTTAATATAATTTAAAAAAGGAAAATTTTTTTTTCAAATAATGATAAAATCTATTTTCGAAAGATTTTAGATCAAAGATCAAAAGATAAAGGGTAGATTGAAGATCTCGAATAGCATAGTATGAGAAGAAAAAATATTTTGATCAAATTTAGTTAAACGATAATAATAACAATGAAAATGTCCATTTAAAGGAAGTTTCTAATTCAAAACGATGAAGAATATACAACTTCAAATAAAATATTTCGAATTTCAAAAATTATATAAATCCTTAGTTTTTTCCTTCGAAAAATCTTCAGTTCGATCCGAAAAAAACTAAAAGTCGAAACAGAAAATAAAATAAAATAAAATAAAAATAAAGATAAGAAGTCTAAAAATTCAATTATGAAGTTCACGACTCTTGCTTGTTTGGCAATCTTGGGGATTTCGACTTTGAATGAAGGTGATTATATTAACTTGATTATAAAGAAAATAAAATTTTTTCTAATTCCATTTATAACATATGTATAGTCAATGCTGCTCCTATTGCCGAGATCGGATTAAATAATAAACGCGACTCAACACCTTCATATGATTATAAAGACAAGAAGGATAAAAAAGATGATTATTATGGTGGCAAAGATGATGAATACTATGGCAGCAAAGATGATGATTACTACGGCGGCAAAGACGATAAATATGATGATGACAAAAAGAAATCCAGCTACAGACGGTCTGCCTTAGCCTCCCCGGGTGACAAAGATGATGATTACTATGGCGGCAAAGACGATGATTACTATGGTGGCAAAGACGATGATTACTATGGCGGCAAAGACGATAAATATGATGATGACAAAAAGAAATCCAGCTACAGACGATCTGCCTTAGCCTCCCCGGGTGACAAAGATGATGATTACTATGGCAGCAAAGATGATGATTACTAT